AGGTTTAATTACTGGCTTAAGTACAATTTTGAATTTTTGTATATTAAGGGAACCGAACAGAGCGAAGACCGAAAAATGAATGAAAAATTTTGTGCGGTAGTTATACAAAAAAAAAACAAGCAGGCAAGTTAGCGCCTGGTGAATTAGTTGTAGCAATGACTAAATAACATATACAAACAAGCTCAAATGAGCTAGGCGCGGACACTATCTGTACTAAAAGAATTTATTAAAAAAAGGCCAAGCAGGGTTTTTGAAATTACATTTAGGAATGTTTAATACAATTTTAATTAATAATTCTTGCTCAATAAAACAATAAAAGATGTAGCTAAACGTAGAACATAATATGACGCTTCGAATTATTTTATTAATTATTTTTCCAAGTTTTCAGAAATTTTGCCTGAAAATTTTCCAACGTTTGAAATTTTTCAGAAAATTAGTAACAAGCGTTTGGAATTGGTGTGTATTTGTGTTGTTTTGTTATTATTATCTAACTATAAATTGTAAAATGTTTCGTCCTTCGGCACAGGCTTAAGACGTTTAGTTAGTACTACAGCCAAATTTTAAATTTTCTTCAATCATTAAATTTTCTGATTGTTTTTTGCGAGAAACTGTAGTCATAAGAGAATTTTTTAAAATCGCACACAAAATCAATTGAAGAGAAAGACACCATTTTGAACTTTTATTTATTTATTGAACATTGGCCATCAGCTTAAGCAGGTGAAATTAATTTGTGTAAAAACTGGAATACAAAAATCCTTTATTTTTACAACAGATTTTTTGTTATTTTATGACTTTAGATTCATATCCTGGGGTTTTTATTATGCCCTGTCCTGTCCTCTCTTATGAATTAAATCAGGTGTTACATATCTTTTGGGTATTTGGAGCTTCACATTTTACCTTTCTTCTTAATAAATAAATATGTACTGTATTCCGAGCCAATAAATGCCGAAAAAGCTAACCGATAAACTATTTAACTTCTTGTTTTACGTACTAATGTGAAGTCCAAATGAAAATAGTTTTTACAAAATAAAATCTATCACCGTTGTAGAAATAAGAAAATTCCATTATTCTATTCATCTTTTTTAAAGTGTTATATATAAAGCTCTATCGAAATTTTAAGCCTGTAGACCTCATTGTGAAAGAGTTCGTCCAGGGAAGTACTGCCACCTTACCTATTTTTGCCGCCAAGCAGACATGTGAGCATTAATTGCATTCCGGTTTTTATAAGGGTAAGTAAGTGCTGGTGAAATTAAAAAAGTTCTGGTGTAATTACAGGCAAATGGGACTATTGAATTTATGACTCAGTGTTACAGGCTGCACTGTTAGTGCCTCTCAGATCCTTACGATTGAAGCTCTGAGTGTCACTGCAACTGCTATAGGCTTGCGTGTCGTTTACCACCAGGCGCACGACTTGCTGGTTTCGTCATTTGAATTTATCATAAAAATACATAGTCCATGATTCTCCGGTAATAAACAAGTAATAAACGTACATCTTCTATAACTTGACGTTATACGAAGATATACTTACGTTTAAGCTTAGGGTTTAAGTATTACCTACTCAAAATAGACATCGATGAAAGGAGAATGTATGTACAAAAACAGACAGCAGAGGCAACACAAACTTATTACAGAAATAATTTATTCATTTAAATATTTTTTTACGATTAAACGAATGTCCTATTACATTCATTCGTAAATTGAGTAATATTTTAGGCGTCAGCAATGTTCTGATCATGGACGTACTATTATAGCTCTATGGTTCTGATATAAAATTGACAATAATTCAGTGGTGAAGGCTTAGGCTTAGACTAAGGAAACTAAATGACATGTTATGTTGACATATACAAATTAGACGTTATATGTATATGATGCATTTCGCCATTGAAAACGTAAACATGTTATTGTCTTTGTTTAACTCTTGCGTGCCGTCTTAAGCCAAAAGAGATAGCATTACATTGGTTTGCGTCAAACACGGGAATCAAAAATACGCAACGTCATCTTAAATGGCAACCGTGTCCATTTCGCAGTACATGAGGTACATGATACGGTTGTCAAAGAGAAGTACATCAAACGTCAAAACAAATGTTTTTCCAAGTGTTTTGTTGAATTATTGGCTTGTATAGTAATAAAATGGACAAAAATATTGATAGTGAGAACAATTAACTATTAATAAAAATTCGTCGATGCAGCATTACGGGATGTGGCATTTGAAAAAGCGAAGATCGACCGAATGTAACATTGTACAGGCACGTGTTATTTTTCTGTCGTATGTAATTAGACATATTTAAGTAGTTTATTCATAAATCTTGCCAAATTTTGCTTTGGTTTCTTCAGATTGCCTGTTTGTTTGTATATTTTGATGATTGTTGTTAACGATTATTTTGAGATAGTATTGTTCTTGGAAGCGTACATATTATCGATATTCTGTTATTAAAATAATTCACTACGAGATTTTTATTATTATTATTTTTACTGTTTCAAGTTTACCTACAAATCAAAAAAGAAAATAGAGCCGAATATAAACATTGAATCAAAAACCATCTTCATTTACTTTATTCGCTTCATTTTGAAGAGTCAAATTTTAACATAACTTTGAATGTAACTGGATTACATGATAATGCAATTCCATCATTAGGTTTTTTGGTTAATAATTTCATATTTAATTTAGATTAAACAAGACTCATTTACTAGGCATTCTCAGTTCCTGAAAACAGAATTTTCCATTCGTTTCCGTGTTTTTCCCACTGACAACTCTAACTACTAAACATTCTTATTTTATAAAGCCAGCAATACAAAGACCATGTTGGTCTAACGTTGCCAGGTGAAGGCCAATACCAACGTATAGACAGCCTATTTGCCTTGCCTTGCCTGGCCATCGTTCGGTGTCACTCGCCTAGCTGACCGAGTGAAGGCGAGCGCTAACGTGTATAGAGCTCGTTTGACGTGGCTTGTCACAACTCGCAGTCACTCGTGACTACTCGTCTCACTACGGAGAAGTGTCGATTTTTCTGCACAAATCAAAGGCGCTCGGTCAATAGTAGTCAATTGACATTGTATAATCAGACATTTGCATGCTATTTAATATATGCGAAACATGTTTATACTAATACTGTCTCTTGTTACATCTTTTGTTATACCACGTTTTAAGCTGTTGAACGTATGATAATAATATTATTATTGATAATATTACCACTTTCATTTATTTCCAAAATTAAATGGAAGTATTAAAAATTCACTTAAATCAGTCACTGATATTAATTCTATACCAATCCATAAATACAAAAAAGCTTACGCTAGTTGGAATCTGTTTAAAAATTTCTCTATGAAAATATGAATCTTGAGGTTGGAAATGTATAGGATTAATATTTCAGTTTTCTCTTTTTTATATACTCTCAAACTTAGAATAATAACGCATAGAATGATAGTTTCATATCAAACGAACTGTCACAAGTGAGGCAAGTTTAAGTAGTAGGTTAATTTTCGGTTTTAGTGAATATTTATATAAAAATACAAGTTGAAACGCGTTACATCCTTGTGGAATGTAATGTTAGTATCTATTTTATGTTTGTCTGACGTCATTTACCGCACATTTTGTCATTTTTAGGTAAAATTCTTGGTCTGTTCGCGGTGCAAGTTGACCTTGAGCACTGAAGGCCCGCCCGCTCGTGTAGGCCCTTTTGGCGCGCTTCAATTTGCCTCACTTAGCGTGTGCGGACTAGGTTTCTATGCGTTATTATTCTAAGCTCTCAAATTACAAAATATTATTTTTTTCTGTGTAATTCACTTTTCGTAATATTTGAGTATTTGTAAACGCAAATAATAAATTCAAAATTTCATAGGAAATGAAACTATTTTTCCGGATTTAAATCGCTTATATTTGTTTTTTCAAAATTTCATGTGACATTCCCGGATATTCCCATATACCTAACCTAAAATATTTCCAAATGGAATATTGATCTACTTTAATTAAATGTTTGCATGTCGATAATGACTTATCGATAGATTATGGTACGACACTAAAGAAATCCGCCATTTGTTCGTTCAATTTTTGTTTAGGCACGTTCATTCCGTAGTTAGGGCAGCTCTTTTCTTTTATTTTTTTCCATTTCTAAGGGCGAAGGTCAAAGCGCTGATGGTGATAGAGTGATTGGGAGATTGAAAGAACCGTTAATACACCTAAAATTTAGAACAACAATTCGGATGGCATGTCGACCAAAATGAGCATTGAATATCCGATCATTTGCTAACATGTTCATCATGGCTTAAAATGTAACTTGTCTTTATTATTTTCTCATATATTTGACGTGTATCTGTGAATGGAACGTCATATATTTGGTGCAGCAATACGGAATACCAACTTTTGAAAACATAGTTAGCGAGCATGCTCTATGCTGCCGTGCCTACGATATGAACAGTAAGTCTATATGTATTTTTTTATATAATATTAAGTAACGGGACGAACAAGTCGTACGCCTGATGGTAAGCTACACGCCTGTCCGTAACAGTTATAGTGCCACTCAGAGCTTTAAATCGCAAAGATTGACGGTCACTGCCACTGCGCCCATCACCCTGAGACATAAGTTGACAAGTCCCATGTGCCTGTAATTTCACCAGCACTCTTACCCTTCAAAACCGGAACACAGTAATGCTGACATCACTGCTTGGCGGCAGAAATAGGTGAGGTGGCTGTACTTCCCTTTTTTTTTTTTTATCTCTGGGAAACGCGTTACGCGTACCGCTCGGCTCGGGGGGAGCTGCGAGCGGTTATGTATGACTCCCGGGCTCTAGCCCGGTATACACACTAAAACCCAGCGGTTAACCCCCACCGCCATAGCGAGGCGCCCCTGGATCCGCTTACGCATACTACAGGAACGCCTCGGCGGATGGTCCGCGTGAGCGGACCCCGGCCTTCAGAGAGTGCCCTGGGTCAACACAAAGGCACCCTCACACTTGTGAGCACAGACTTGGAGATAGGGTCCCCCGACCCCTGTCCCCACGGCTCACTGCAGCGGGGGAAGAAGGTGGGACTGCCTCCTTCGTCTCCCCAGCCGCCGTCTTCGGAGCGGGTCAGCGAGGGGGTCGTCCTCTCTGAGCCGTTCCGAGGCCTCCTTGTGCGAAAGTACGCTTTCACAGAAGGAGGCCGTTGCATCCCAACACCTCTGACTGTCGAGCATCGCGCCCACGATGGTCGACAGCGAGAGATCTCCGCCCACTACCGCGGTCGGGGAGTGCCGCTGGGGGCCCCATGCCGCACATTCTGTCACGGTATGACGCACTGTATCGACGGGAGCGCCACACTCGTGACAGACAGGGGTCGTCTCCCGACCTGCAACCCGGTGCAGGTATTCGCCGAAATATCCATGTCCGGTAAGAACCTGCACCAATCTGTAGGACAGAGACCCATATCGCCGGTCGACCCAGCGGATTAGGTGGGAGCGAACTGCCTCCACCGTCACTAAGCCCGCGACTGGGGCCTCTAGGTCCTCCGTCCATTTCCGGATTAAGGCAGCGCGGCCCGCTGCCCTGATCCTCTCCAGGTCTTCGGCGCTCGGCCTTTCCCCCCTGGCCTGCATGGCCGCTCGGTATCGGTACACTTCCGCGAGCACCTCCGCCTGGAGTTCCCAGGGAGGATCGCCCGCCAGAAGAGTGGCCGCCGTCCACGACACCGTGTGGCTGTACTTCCCTGGACGAACTCTTTCACAAGGAGCTCTACTGCTACTAACCTGTATTTCAAACATACTTACTGTAAACATTATAAGCTACAGTCTACAAAACAAATACTATACACGATTCACGAATAAAATGTTATAAAGTAATATAAAAACGAAATTGAAGACCTATTCATATTAAAAGCCCAACTAATACAAATCCACGCGTGGCACATGATACACGCATAGATTTAGTTGCTACTTTTATTTTCAAAGTCCACTTAGCCTTTTGTTATTTTTTATACTTTGAAGTTAACAGTCCAACATTGGGAATAAAACTATTTACCCGGAACTAAATGGTGTATATTTGTTTTTCAAATAAACCAACGTATCGGGCTCTTTACTTACATGGTGACGGCTGACTGATCTCAAACGTTTTCGAGAGTTGTTATCTTTGTAGTGTGGAGAGATATATAAACAGAGGTACTAAATAAAACAAATTAAGTACATTTTTTTGATACCAAATTTGTCAGGATCCGTTAAGGTACACCTTTTTTTTTTTGCCATTCTGTCTCTCACCAAATATAATGCAAATACATTTTACTGTTTATTATTTATTATATGTAGTATAACAACTTTGATTTTTGTGGAGAAAATAAATAATTATTATGCGTGCTATTATGAAATGTAATCTTCTAGGGAATACCCAGAGATGGACAAGCGCTGGGTTTTAAGTTGAAGAAGAGCAATTGAAACGGCCAATGTAGACGAGTTTTGTGGAGCTGCCCATACGTTGGACTCTGCCAGTTTTCATTGTGCATTTAAATTATATGCACGACGTGGAAGTGAAACTTACAACTTACATTAACACAGGGTTTTTTACTCTTTTTGTAATCATGGATCCCTCTCAAATATTTCCTAGAGTCCACGGATCCTTTCCGAAAAGATGAAGAAGACACGCTCGCGGCTGTGAACAAATAAAAACACAATCAATCCTCCTTCCGTGTGTGTCACTATGATCCCTCTCTATTGCTGATGCAGAAATCTTGTATGGAATTAAAAAATAATTGTCTGTAGCTAGCTCAATAGGAATTCAAAATAATATTGTTATGTATAGTTATGAAATGGGTAAAAATATAGGTTTGCAACTTAGCCACCTAGGACTTATATTAAGAAACATTTGCATGCCAGGTGAAATTTACTGTAAAATACTAGTTAGCATTTTCGTCAAGTAAATTTGAACAAAACTCTTCATTAATAATTTTATTTATTGGCAGAAGAGGAAATCTAACAAAAAAGATACAATATTTTTCACAATTAAATAAAAAAAATAAAAATAAAATTGTTTATTCAGTAACATAATGTACAGAGAGAAATTAAATAATTTAGTTAATAATAGTAATAAGGCATACACTCAATACAGCCCCGCACTAGGGAAACCTTGTGTCGCGGGTGCCATGGAAACACACATAGACAACTACAAATTACACCCAAACTCACCAGAGAACTAAATGTAGGCCATACAAATACTTCAACTGCCTCCGTTCGGCCACGGAGGCAGTTGAACAAAAAAGAAATTATTTTGTTCGCTTTTCCCTACAGCAATAGCCTCACAACAAGTGAAAATAATATGAGGATAGAACGTTACACAGCTTGACATTTCATTATAGTAAATTTCATTTTATGGACACTAATAATTTTGTTAGTAAATATTTTTATTTGACTAAAGATAGGTTATTATCTTGCTAGTGATTTTAGGGGACAGATAGCAGAGTTGCTATCATATTATATTAATAGTTCAGCCAAATCGTTGGCTACCAGACCGGCTGCTTCTATTGAGCAGTGCATTGACATAGGTCTGTTTACTGACATTAATCAGTCTGTTAAAAATAATTCTATTTTCAATTATTTAAATTAATTAATAAGACAACGGAGAGATACTCTTGCAACATAGCGACTGAAAAGACCAACCTAAAACATGTAGAAATAAAATAAATTGTATATTGAACCTGGTGCATCAAAATTTTCAAGGCATGACAAGCAAAGAGTTAGAAATAGAATTATTTATTAACAGTAATAATATTGATATTCTTTGTATTACTGAGCATCACTTTTTATTTAAACATCAGTTCATGTTTAATTTCAACAATCACGTGACTAGTTCGTTCAGTAGAGAAAAAGCTATTCATGGCGGCTCTTTAATATTTAATAAAAATAATTTAAAATTTAAAGAACATACACATATTGTGAGCCTATCTATTGAGCGGACTATAGAGATATCCTGCATAGAGCTTGAACGGCTTGTTATATTTAAATATGTACCTTATACTATGGAAACCGATTTTTTTTCCCATCCTAAGGTGTGTACAGCCCCTGCTTCATCTTACGAATTATTTGAAAAAAAAAAAAAAAACTAATCGAAGTTTAAGCAAATTAAATAACCAAAATAAATATATTACTATTTGTGGTGATTAGAAGACTGTACTTTACGTAGTAGGCTATCATTTTTCAGTGTTACAATCTTGTGAATCTTTTTTTGGCTCCGTCTGAAACAATTTCTACTACAGCAACTAAAAGGCGGAACAACGCGCCCCAAAGCGGGGCTGAATGTTCCGCTCCGAAATTTGTCAAAAATTTGCCTCTATGAAAAAGACTATTGAGATATTAGTAGAAGTGACTATACTATTACAAAAAGCGATAAACATTTGTTCAACATTTCCACATACTGAAAATCAAATCCTACATTTTCAGTATAAAACTGCAAGTTATTTGAAAATCGGAACGTTCAGTTCAACGTCCTCTACTTGGATGACAAAAATCCGTGGTAGTGACCCATTTAGCTCTTTCAGGTATTCTCGATCTAAGATGTTTAAATTAAACATTGTGATAATAAATGCATTCAAATGTATATAATGTAAATATATAAAAAATAGTGTATACAAAGGGCAACCCCTAGTTTCTTGCTCATTCTTCTCAGGGGAATCTGCCTTACGAATGCGCAGCAGAGTTTAATCAGTATGACGATTTCAGAAGCGAATTGCTTACCTATGAAATAAAGATTATTTGAAGATTGTATTCAATTGTGCGAAAACATTACCTGCTGAGTACTTGGAAAAACCTGTTTATTTTTTAAAGGCTCGCTTCAAGCGAAATAAGTTTCTTTTTATGCCTTTAATACGTACCTACGCTGCCCCAAAGTAAACAACTGACCCAATTACCTATTTTATCAAGTTATTTGCCAGTGACTTATGCTTGAACCTATATTTACCTGCTAAATATTGTTTTCAAACGAACTTTTGTAGGGAGTCCCCTCGAGAATCGCAGTGATGTTACAAATTCTGTAATGTAATCTTGTTTATTCAGATGTATTTTACAGCTAAAATCGTACAAAAAGCTTTCATAAACCTATTTTTCCAATTATTAATACAAAGATCGAACACAAAGAAAAATACCATCGATCTGACAGGACTTGAACTAGCGTCTGTGATACCAATCCCGGTCGCATTGAGGAAGATCGCTCTACCAACTGACCTACAATCCAGTCAGCAGAACTTTATTAGAGATAATTATTAATACAAAGATCGAACACTCAGAAAAAACACTCAGAAAAAATTCCTTCGATCCGGTCGGATACGAACCGACGTCTTCTTGCATACCGTGCCAGACGCTATACCAACTAAGCCACGGAACGAACCAACGGACGTCACAAATTTTTATATGTGCTTGCGTCGTGTCTTTGTACTTGGTCTTTCAACGACTTTTTAGTCGTAGCGCCATCTATGAGAAATCTATTACAGATGTATCACCCAGTTAGTACCTTTACAGCTACCAGTCCTGGCGAGAGATGTCGCTATTCACTGTATTAATTAAATTTTTATTGAATTGATATTCAATTATTTTT